TTTTATTCCTGTGTTGTTTGGCCAGCTGTTTTTTGCATTGTGGCTCAGACCTTCTGGCTTTGCAGAGCTTCCTGCATGGTTTCAATTCAGCAGCAGGACCTATGAAACAGGGTGCTATACTCGTGCCTGGGGTATCTGCTCAGGTCCTGCTTCATCTCCAGGCTGGTACCTGTCTTGGTGTTGACAACCACGTGTCTGGCAGCAGAGGGGTGACACACGTCTTGTTTCTCAATTCTGAGTCTAAGTTTAGCCAGGGTTGTAATGAGCTCCTGCAAAGCTGTAAGGGTCGCTCCCTGCCACTTGGGCATCTGTGGGCTCTCCGAGGAGTCTCCCTGAAGAAGCTTTAGGTTTTTGCTGCTTGTGTGTTAGCTGCCTGGTCGGCGTGTTTCATCTGTACCTGCTCTGGACCTTCCTAATGTGGAAGGGAGGGAAACGAGAGGCTGCTGCTTGGGGAATGTAAGCACAGGCTATTCATGGTTCAGCACTGCCTTTCCTGGGGGTATATTTTTAACGGTAGACAGCCTGAAAGTTGGCATTAGGTCAGTGCTTGCTGGCTGGTGCAGGAACATCCACCCAGGAGGAGCTGTCAGACTGCCTGCCTGCTCTGTGTCTGTGCTTGTGATGTTAACCATACTGGGGTGAAACACACGGCTGCTGCAGTTGGTTTGCATGTGGTTGCAGTTAATAGCAAAGACTTGGTAATTATCCTTGCTCTATTTCCTCTCTTCTTGTTCCATGCACAAGAGCAGTCGGTTTTAACCCCAGAAACCAGCCTGAGTGTTGACTGGGAAGTGGAGCCCCATGAATGTCCATTTTTGGCTGTGTATGGCCGTGTCATCCTGTTGGCCTTCGTGCTGGTTCTCTGGGGGAGGAATCTTGCAGTCAGCTCTTGGCCACAGTCCTTGCTGGTGGATGGGACCTGCGCTCTCCCGAGCACAGGGTGACGACTGCATTAATTGGGTATGGAGAGCTCCCCTTTCCCTTGGCTTGTTTCTTCCTGCTTGTTTCTCAAGACTTCTTGACTCATCCCAATGACTGGAAAGCTCCTCAGAACTCCTACTGATGCTTCCTCTGCCTCCTCAGCAGTGGTTTCTTCCCTCTTGCTCTTTTCATGAGCTGCATGGCTGGGAAGTGATTGGCAAACTGACTCTGGAAAGTGAACACAAAGCCTCTGTGCTCCTTCACCCCTCAGCTTGGCTGTAAGGAAGAAAACCTCAGGAAGAGCAGGGAGATTTATCCCCCCTCCCTCTCCCTCCTGGCTGCAGCTAAGTTTTAATTCTGAGTCTCAAGACATAAACTGTTGAGAATAAACAAGATGCAGCCCCTCTTCTGTGAGTCAGAGATGTCATTGTCAGTGGAGGGATTCACAGTCCTTTCAGCTCCTCTGCGGATACTCTGTGGCTGCTGGATCTTTTCCTGCCCTAGGAAAGGGCTCCTGGGTTGGGGGTCTGTGCTGAGCAGAGTTTCTGGGCTTAGCCTGTGTAGCAGGAAATGAGTTTGCCACCAAAACGCAAAGAAGATCCTGGTCTTCCAGTGATAATTACTGGGATGTGTTCAGTAGGATTTGGACTGTAGCCACACATGGTTGTCCTTGGATGAAGAGCAGAGACAGTGGGAGAGTGAAGGCTGGTGCCTCCAGGACAGCTGGGCACTGAAAGTTAAGGATAGACCTACCTCATTTCTGGGAAATTCGACCCTAGATTGCAGCTCGGGATGAAATGTAATAAATTAGGGCAAATTTGTTTGCCTGAAGGCTCTCTGATTTTTTTCAGGGCATGAGAAAGCATGAGAGAACCTGAGAAACGTTTCCTCTGCTGAATCAGTCATGTGTCCCTGGCCAGAACAAACAGTGCCTCTGAGAGACTGTTTTGTCTCATGTAAACTTGGTTTGTGTGCTTCTGTCCAAGCCCAAGGTAGTGCAGATACTGGTAGGACAGAAATGTTTTTTTAGAAAGCCGTTGATTTGGTTTGAGGACAACAAAGCAGCACTTAACAAAAAATCACTAAGGGTTAACCCTTTCTGCTTTCTTCCATGACTGAAGCTGAGGGGACTTGAAAAGCTGTACAGTAGTGAGATATGACAAATGCACCTTTCAGGTGCTTGGCCATATGTGCTTAGGCAATGAAAACAGACTTGAAATAGCAGATTTACTCCAATAGCTATTACTTAGTTTTACTGAATGGATAAGAGCAAAGTGGTGCTGCTTTATTGGTCACTTTCCACACTGAAGTGTTGTTTACTTGAATATTGGCTTTGGCCAAGGATTGGCTTTAGAAATGGTCTAGGTGAAACAGTCTGTTGGTGCACACTGGCCCTAGATACCCAGCACTTGTCAGGCATCTTTAGGTTAATCATCTTAAGAGAAAGGAACCCCAAAGCTAGGGAGAGGTATCCTGCAACCTCTGAGATACAAACTTGAGTTTGTGTGGTGACTTTGTCCAATTTGGTTCAGGCTGGAGGTGCTTTGTGCTAAGGGTTACCTGAATTACCCCAGGGTTTGAACTTTGGAAGGATGTTTGTGGCTTGCCTTGGGCCCTGCTGGCAGGGCTGGAAGATGCTCTGGGTGAGCTCTGAGCTCTGGTACGTTGAAGAGGAGGGCTTGGCTGTACTGGTGGGAATACCTAGTTGTGCTTACAGCAGGATCCCAAGACCAAAACTCAAACTTGGAGGTGAGCTGGGAGGCTCTTGCTATGAAACGAGCTGTTACTTTTCCATACTGGCCTCCCAACCTTTGAGACTGGTTTCCTAATTCTTCCTTCTCTCCTCTCTTCCTCTTGGCCATTGCAACAGGATTCTTTCTCATCCCAAGTGTGTCCTCCAGCTTGTACCCCTGTCCTCCTAGGACTGTGACATTCCTTGGGGATAAGCACAGGGCACTGTTTCCAGGGCTGCTAATCTGTTTGTAAGCAAACCACAGGGCTCGGTGGAGAGAAAAACATCTCAAATGCCGTTTGGAGATGCCTCTTCTCATGATGTGTCTAAAGAAATGTGCCAAGGGAAACTCCAGGTTTTGGTTTTCCTTGCATTTGGGTTGCTGGAGATGTACTACTTCTCACGTGGATGCAGAATTGGGTCTGAGAGAGCCATTACTTTATTCCCAAGGGGATGGAATAAGCCATGAGCTTTGTCAGCTGTGTGGGAAAAGGACTCCTTGTGGACCACAGTGGGGAGTTGGTGCCAACTGATGCTATTCTTGACGTGTTTTCTCCAACTTGGCCATTAACCAGCTGTCAGCTGAGTTTTCAGCCAGTGCCTTGCTGGGTGGTGTCTGGTCGTTCTGCTCACGTCCCCACGTCAGTTATTCCACAGAAACGTACACACAGTTTTAAGTTTTCCATTTTAATACAGCTGTATTCAGAATGCCAGATCTTGCCTGTCCAAATATTTATGTGCCTGGGATTGCTCTCCTCTATTAACGGGGCACGTTCTTACCCTCTGTTTGCTTGATGGAAGATGCTGATGTTCTTTGGGGTGATGACTGTTTGGCATATGGGCTGTTCCATTGTTATACAGCTTATTGTGTTCCCTATGGCTCAGTTTGGCTCTTATAGCTTCTTGAATCTTCTTTTTTTATTGTTTTATTGTTTTATTTTGTAACTCTGCTCCTCTCCATGTTTACCCTATCTCAACTTGCCATTTGTCCCTCTCTTGACACCACACCCTCTGGCACTCAAAAGAGCTTCCTGTGGTCTGTGGTCAAAGCTGGAGAGGACAACCTTGTTCACCGAGTTTCTGCAGTGACCATTTCCTAGCCTAGAGAGTTGGGAAAACAAGTGAGATCAATGAAGCCCTTCTGGTTAGATGTCTGAAGTGGCTGGGAAGCAATTTCCCTCCCAAAGGGTTTAGCTTCCTAGAAGAGTGGGTTGCAGTAACAAAGAGTGTCCTTACCAGCCTTTTGCTGGTCCAGAGAACATTTAGTTTATCCACAAAGAGATAGCTGAAGGGGGAATGATGTTGCTGTACATGTTGTTGTACTTACAACACTTGTACAGGGTGCAGGAGAATGAGGGTCGCAAGCTATTTTAATATGAGCAGAGCACATGATGGACCAGGATGTATAGCTCAAAGTGAACAAGGTGACCAGACAGGGCTGGAGCATCCAATGACTCTGCCATAGAGGTTTTTTTCCTAGAGACATCTTGTCAAACTTCTTATACCTCACAAAATTTTGACTTTCACTTGTTGTTTTCTAAGGTGGCAGTGGAGGTCAGGAAGGAATAAAATGCAGATAATGACTTGGGAAATCTCTCCCAGCTCTCCTGTCCTCCTGTGTCTTACATTGCAAGTAACTCTGGTCTCTTCTCCCTGCAGATGGTCTTCCGTCCTCCTTTGGATTTCTACGATGTCCTAATCCACCTGAACCCAAACCAGATTCCTCGGCATATGGAGAGTGTGGACCGGCCAGCAAAGTCATTTTCCCGGGGAGTGGTGAAGAACAGTGCTGGAGAGAAGGTCCTCTTCCCCGTAGTGGATTATGACCCGGTGCAGTGCTACCTCCAGGAGTTGAGAGTAAGCATGGTCCTTTGGGGAGATGGCAAATGATTACTGGGTGTAGTGGGAGTGGTGTTCTGTTGTGCAGACCATTAGTTGCCTGCTGCGAAAGGACATGGGTGATGACGTCTTTACATGTTTTGTATGTAATGATCATTATGCACGTGTACATCTGAAATAACATTTTCAGCAAAGAATATGGTGAAAGCATTACTCATTATGTGGAAATGGAAGTGTTGCTGATGTGAGAATTGACCTGAAGTATAAAGTTCTTGGGGCTTTCCTAAAGAATATGACATTTCAGTGCAAAAGCATTGCTAGTGTCATTTCTCTCTATTCAGTTGACTCTTCCTGGCTTCTTTTGCCAGTTGAGGTTTACAGAACTGAATCATGGGCTAGCTCCCATTTGGGACTGTTTATGGTGTGCTGGAGGAAGATTTGAGGGATGAGAACTTCTAATGGTCTTATGTGTGTTTTACGGGATTACATACGGGACAGTGACGGCTACAGGCATCCATGACATGGCCCCAACAGGGCTTCTGCTGTAAGAATTAAGAGATAGGCCAGGGGTTGAATGAATCATAGAAACTGAATATTGGTCACAGAAGGGTCTCTCCAAGGCTGGTTACATGCATGATATTTGGGGAAGATGTCGTTATGCTGATGATGTGAATGAGTGGAGAACATCAATATCCAAAGGCATCAGTGCAAGTCTTCCATCAGGTGGCCATGGTAAAGTGTCAGCAAACTGGAGGATGTGAAGTAGGATGCTGGGTGGTCCATGGTGGATCTGGACAGCCAGTCCTTTTCAGATGTGCAGTCTGTGTTTCTTTACGTCTTTTGAACTTCACATGCAATAGCTAAAGAATTATTAATGTGCAAAACAATGGGGCTGTGACACCCTTCTTTCAAAAGCTAAGGTGATTTTCAAGTGCTATTATCTGCCCACGAAAGTGTTTTGAACACTGCCAAAATGTACAAATGTATAGACTAGCTCTGATGAGAAGGAGGATGCTGAGTTCTGATGAGAAGGATGCTGTAGAGGTCTCTGGTCCTGGGCCCGGTCAGGGTGGAGTCAACTTTAATGTTAGATATTGCACAGATGCCAATCCAGTCGAATGCTGAATATTTCCAAGGATGGAGATTTCCCTCCTCTCCGAGTCCCTGTCCCAGTATTTGAACACCCTCATTCTGATATTTTTTTTTCCTGATACCTAACTGGAAATTCCCTTTTTCCAGAGTGTCAGTCCTCAGATCCCTTGGGACAGCTGGACTGTGCTTGTGGCAGCTTGTTTAAAGGGAGTCAGAGCTGTTAATTGTGGAGCCTTTAATTGTGTTCTTGCAGCTCTTGGCAGGCCGTGTCCACCCTCCTGGGCAGCACGTCTCATCAGGTGGCTTTTCCCTTCTCCCAGTTGACATGCTCCTGAGGATCTTGCCTGTCTTCCTTTTTGCTTCTTTTACCTGAAGATTTGATATCGGCTGCACTTCAAGCTGAGTAGGTGTTTGCAAGCAATGTTTGCAGTTGCAACTCTGTCCTGAAAGAGGTGTGGCAGCAAATGGATCCAGAAGGGCAAGATACAGAGGAGACTTCCCTGGAGAGCAGTTTTAATTATCCTTTAAGCATTTATGACTTAACTGATCCAGTCAATTATGGCATCCAAACTGTGTGCGAATTTTTACTACCCATTTAATATAGGTAATAACAGACTGGGACTATAGTTGGCCTAGCTTACAAATCGCAGGTCATCCTAAATCCATTATACTAGCATCCCAATGAAGAAACAGACAGGAGCAAAGCTCATATTCTGTTGGAAGCAGCATATTGTTCCTTAAAGAGAGAGTGTGTGTTTGGTTTCCTGTTCTTTGGCCAGAGGTGCTCTGGAAAGAGAGGAGCAGGGGCTGGTCACAGGATCCTTAGAAGAGAAAGCTGTAGGGTAGAGAGCCTGAAACCTTCCTCAACAGCGCTGGCTGGGGGGTTTCTGTCCAGTCGAAGGGTCTCAGCTACGTGTGGCTGTTCCTTTAGCCCATCATGTAGGAGGTATCTTGCTGCATCAGCTCACTTTGCTCTCCTAGGTCAGGTCAGTAGCAAGCAGACCTGAAGCGGGTCATGAATATATTCCTTCCTGAGCAGCAGGAGTTGTTTCCTCTTGAGAAGTTACTGAATCATCCTGCTTCATATCTCTGAGTCCTGATGTTTTTGCCTAAAAGCAAGACCACCTGCATCTGACAGCATGCTTTGTCTTCGCTTTGGTTTGCAGTCTCTCCAGTGTCCTTGTATTTCTTACTCCACTAACCTTTGCTCAAAGTAGCAATGAGATCCTCCTTGTTCTGGTGTCTGGGAGCTCTGCAGGTGATCCAAATGCAGCAGGATGTTGGTGCCAAAAGGAATTGTGGTGACAACTGAGTGACAGCAGCAAATCCGTACAAGAGATTTTGGATAAGAAGGCATTTTAACACAGAACTGGCTGGCTTTTGACTCAGAGTAATTTGCTATCCCTTAATATCATTAACCACAGAATTGAGCAATGGGGTTGTAGCTGTTGCTGACAGTGCAGCCATAGTGGTTTTATAACAACAAAGGGAGACATCTGCCATGCAGCAATACTGTAAAAATTTGTACTTGGTTATGGGTGGAGAAGAAACATCTGTCCTTTTCTGAGCTTACCATGTGGCAAAAGGGTTTCAATGCCTGGACTTCCCAACTGAGCTGAAAGGGGCAAGATGTAGAGTCTTTTGCAGTGTCCCTGGTCCCACAACTAGGAGACCTACTTTGTCTTGCCCAACCTGTTTGTACCCAGAGTGTTTTCTGTTCTCAAAGGAAAGGGATTAGCAAAGCAGAAGCTCTCTGGAGCCAGAGAATTGACGCATACTTTCCACAAGGAGCCTGATCAGAGGAGAAAATGAAAGGGGGGAAAGTGTTAGGCCCTGACTGCTTTAGTCTTTTTCTTGCTCCAGGGAGATGTGCTGCAGAAGCTAGAATGACGAGTTTTGGTGCCTGAGAGGCTCTGAATAAAGATGGTCGTGGGCTTCAGGCAGTGAATGCTGGAAGGCCAGGACAGATCTGATAGAAAAGGTGTGTTCAGAGAGTTGGTCCAGATGAGAAGCCTTGGCAGACAGAGGTTTATGAGGGAGAGTAAGTGCCAGACTGCCTGCCCTGCAGAGAAGGCTTCCTTGGAGCCTCAGACCTGGGCCAAGTGCTAACAAGGCCTTCCCAGCCCCTACTATTGAGCGTTGCAGCAAGCAGTCCCGGATTGGGTCCTGACTGGGATTCTCCAGTGACACAAAATTATGTTTTAAAGAAGAGGGCCTCCCTTTGAATCCCTCTCCTGACTATGCTGGTTTATTTGCTTTTCTTAAGTAATTGCTATACTCAGTGTCTTTTCTCAAGAATTGCAGAACCGGGCACCTCATCTGCAGTTCTGTGCCATTTGCTAGAGATGTGGTATGTGAAGGATGACTTAGCCCAGCTGTTATTCTATGGTTTGGGTGTCTTTTGGACTTCAAGGGAAGACCTTTCTGCCTGCATCAAGCAGGTCTTGTGGATGAACTTGTGCCGATATGTGTGTCTTCAGGGGCTCACAAAAATGATGCTGGCCTCCTGCAAAACATCCAGATTCAGGGAAAGTGAAATTCATCTGCCTGAGCCTTTTCGGTCTGCATGTGTGTCTGCCTGACACTGATAAAAAAACATTAAGTCTCATAACAGGTCTTTGGGCTCGCTGGGTCCCTGGGTGTGCATCTCTTTCACTGATGTTCTCTGGTTGTGTAAGTCTATTGAAGAATTCAGGGCAAAGGAGCTGCCTGCCTGCCTTTTACAGGGGAGACTTTTCTGTGTTGATAAACAAAATGATTTTCTGCCTTACTGTAAAATTCCTTTTCACTAGCATGGTGGTTTGCATTTCTTGTTCCCTTACACAGATCTATCTGGGAGATTTACAGCCCTCTTCCTTCTTCCTTCCACAGTACAGGAACACCTATCTTGCTACTGCATGTTAAGAAAGAATTAACAGTATTAAATGTTCCCACTTTCGTAATACGTATAAGCTGTGGTTATGGGACAGAACTGGTGGAGTCTTTTCAGGTCAGACTGCTCCCTCCCTTCCTGTTTTGACTGACAGACCTGACTCCTCCTGTGGTGTCTTTCTGCCAGGCAGAGACAAACTCAGAAAGATCTGTGGGCTTTCCTAGGGCAGAAAGGAAACCTTCCTGTCTGGATCCGTGCTTTTGGAGGGGCAGAAGTGGCAGGAAATTCCCTGCCCTTACAGCTGCAGAGCTGCTGTGTGTCTTTTAATGTCGTGCCCTTGGGTCCGGGAGGGATGCCTATGTGTGAGGATGTGGGCATGCAGTTACATATCATGGCATGCTGACCCCTGTGCTCCTTCAGTGATCTCAAAGGCACTTGTTGGCTATATTCCTTGTGGTAATGCCTTCCTACAGGTCTGCTTTGAATCTTTTCTATTTTTTACTTTATTTTTTTGTTGCCATACCCCTTTGCTGCTGCTGGGAACCCCCAGAAGGAAGATGCCTATGCTACTCTTCTCAGGCACTAGGAAGTGGAACAGTTTGAGTGGTTTGCATTCCCTTTCTGCAGGTGAACCCCAAACCCAACATCCAGTGGTTTTCCCCTTTAAAAACTCTCTGATACAGTGGCACCCCTGGCCTGGTTTTCTGAGCAGTGCTCCTTGCTCTGTCCTGTAGCCCATGAGCATCAGGGCCAGATTGGCAGCAGGATCACAAGGACTGTGAAGTGTTAACAGCAAACATAGTCATTTTTGGGGAAATAATTAGCTGTAGTTATTTTAGTAGAGTTTTATAAACACAGATCCCTCCTGAGAGAATTTAAGATGTTCTAAGCTCTGAGCAGATGTTGATTGATGCATTTACCATTTGAACTGCTGTGGCACCAGGAAGAGCTGCTGGGTAGAATTAGGGTGCAGAGACCTCCCCTGTCCCAGACAACTCCCGTTCTTCCAGCAGATGTGATGCAAGGAGCCCAGTCCCCAGGTGTAAGTATGAACAATGAGAAAGTGGGTGGGTGAAGGGTTAGGGGAGAAAAGAAAAGAAAAACCAAACCACAATAATGCAGTTGTTTAAGTAGCAAGCACTTATGTCATTGCAAAATCCATGCTTTGGCTTGAGCTGCTTAATCCCTTTAGATCGGGGTATTGTTTTACACAACCAGTTTTCTCCATCCCTCCAGTCCTACCAGCCTTTCTATGGGCCTTTAGGACTGAACCATGACAAAAAACAGTGCAATTGAGAAAGGATTAGGGGTTCAAATGTGTTCCCCACCTTTCTTCCCTTTTTCTTTTAGACTTTCTTCTGATGAAGGTGCTTGCAGGCCCAGGCAAGCCTGTTGATACTGGGCCTAGAGAATGGGATGTGGAAAGGCGGGCACATGGTGTTTGCTCTTCTCTCCAAGCCTCTGTACAAACAGAAGTGTGGTGACTAATATATCAGTCTCTTCTAATGCTGCAGTTCCGCAGGAACTCAATGTGCTTTTCTACAGTTCATCGTAGTTGGCCTGAAGCTCTGTGGATAGTGTTGGGAGCAGTGCAAGTACAGAAGCCTGGATGTCATCCTAGCTTCTCGTTCTCTGCTTACTCTTGTCTAGTTAAAAAATGCTGGATGTTGGGTAGAAAAGCAGGTTTTGGGGGGAAAATAAGGTGAATCTGTGAGGGCTGCTTTCCTGCAAGTACTCCTGGCTCCTCTTCAGCAAGATATGCCTGTAAAAATAGCTTTTTTTTCTAGAGAGCATCATGTTGGCCTGGAGACTTCATCCCATAAATAATGGAGCATTTTCAGCATATTTCAGCACCCCTTCGTTTCAGAGAATTGTGTTGTGGTGGCCACCATACCGTGTGCTTTGCCCTTCACTGAGTTTTTCCCTCCCTCCTCCATGTTTGTCTTTCGGCAAGAGGAGGAGTTTTCTTCATTGGCTCTGCTGAGCGTTGTTGGTTGGTCAGCAAGGAAACAGCAGGGTGGGTTGCCTCTTTTTCAGCATATTTTTAGACAGCTTTTTCCAAGCAAGCTTGAGGCAATGTTTTGACCAGCGTGGCCCCCATGAAGATCCTGTGGAGTGGGGTGAGATGGCAAGTCTCAGGACCTTGCCTGCTTGCTGGCCTGGTCATGTTGCCCTCCATGCTATGTCAAGTTCAAACTCATAAATCTGGCTCTGAAGGTTGCAGGCAACACTGCTCCTCCCTGCTTATTGGCTCTTGGCGCTGAACTGTGCCACCCCACCCTTCCGGATGGCAGCTAATACCAACCCAATCCACCTTTTCCTTCCACCACTGCCTCTTACTGTTTACAGGCCAGCCCTTGGTCACGAAAGACCCTTTCCATTTACCTTGCCTAGCTGCTAATCTTCATGTGTGTCCTTGTGAAAGCCTCACGGTGCAATATTGTCAGAGACTTTTTGTCTTTGTAAGAGTGTGGCAGCAAAGGAAGAGAATGCAGTTGCTGTAATGCTGTTGGCCATCAGTCATCAGAAGGATGCAAAGGCAGCAGCTTCTCAGCTGTCTTGGTCAGCTGCATCCCGGATGCTTGTCCCCAGGTGCCAGCCCTGCTGGGTGCTGATCTGCCAGGCCAAGCTGCTGGGTTTGAAGCCATTCCCGTGCAGCCTCTTTGCTTTTGTTGCAGTGCTCATCCCCTGCCTCCTTGCTGGGCTGGGAATCTAGTTCATGTGAGCTTGGGGGAAACCAGGCTGTGGGCTTTAGTGATCTCTGCTTGCATGCTTTCTTTTGGAGCTCTCCTTCCTGGCAGCTGCCAAAGGAGGCAGCTCACTGACAAGAGCTGTTGAAACCCTGGAGCAGGGAGAGCAGATTCCTGGACAACCTCCACTTTTATTTTGTCAATTCATACCACACAGGCCTCTAGGAGATCCAACTTGCTAGAGCTGGACGCCGGCTTCTGACTGTTCTCGCTGTCCTGTGGAAGGTAGTGGTTCATGTTTTCTGCTCCCTGGGACAGCAGGAGGTAATTGGCAGTTAGGTCTGCACAGAAAACCTAGCGTTTTTTTGCTGCCTCCATCAGGGCTGGTGGAGAAGAGATAGCAGAAGGCACCCATCCAGATCTTCCAGGACTCACCCAAGGGCTGCCAGCTGTTGTTCCTTGCTGGGAATCCACTCCATTGCGAGTTTGGTCCTGGTTTGTGTGCAGCTATTGTGTGTCACTGTGTAGAGGTACATAATCAGAGAGAAGATTTGGATCTAGGGTGTTTCATGGGACGTTTGCTTTTGTTCTCTCCAGGATGCCTTCAGTGATCTTGCCTTGTTCTTTTATGACAAACACGGTGGAGAAGTGATTGCAGTTTTGTGGAAACCTGTGAGCTTTCAGCCTCAGCCTTTTAAGGTGAGTTCTTGACTCTGCTTTAGACTTTAGACTTCATGTTACCAACCTGGTTGGTTAGAAGGCTGCCTTCTATGTTGTAATTGCTTTATCTGACTCTCATCAACCCAAAAGCTCTTGGAGAAGTTGAGCTAATGCTTCTGGCCCTCCATTAGAGGAGATGAAGCTGAGGCAGGGATGTGATCATGGTTCCTTAGTCATCAGCAAAGCTGAAAAGAGGACTTATCCCTAGGTGAGCCCCAGCACCTGCTCAGTGGGTCAAAACAGAGCTTGATCTTTCAGGTGCTCTTCTTTGGTGCTCTTTTGGGAGATGGGGGATGCATTGTTTGCCAGAGATGACTGCTGTGTGTAGCAGCCTGTCCCTGCTTCTCATGGGCTGCATGTCTCTTGCCCAGAATTACCCAACCTGTAAGAAGCTGGGGCAGCAGCCTAAGATTTGTAGTGCCCAAGTCCTGTTAATATATGAAGATATTTTCCAGCTGCAGTGTGTGGGTTGTCAAACTCTAGAGGTAGAACTGCTTAAGGTAGTTCTCAGGCATGCTGGAGTGATTCATGCTGCTTTCTATGAAGAAAAGATGCAAAGAAATTGGTGACTCATGACACAGAGTTGGCAGTCCAGGCTCCTCTGCTGTCAGTCTCCCTCTGGGTGATTTATTCTCCCCTCTTCATGGCCAGAGGCATTGGCCAATTCATCCTGACTGCTGTTGTGTAACAGTTATTCACAGCGGTGAAACAAGAGGAGTAGATGCTTGAATCTAAGCTGAACTTGGCCTTCTTAATTTATTTATCTGTTTATTTTGCTCTGATGGAGCCAAGGATCTTTCCCAACTTGATGTCTTCACACCTGATAATAGCTCAGAGCCTAGATGTTTAATCAGTCTGGGATATCTTGCTGTTCAGACACCCTGTCTGCTCAGCTCAGCTCAGGAGGTCTTCCGTGCACCCGTGTTGCTGTGAATATCACAGAATCACAGAATGCTTAGGGTTGGAAGGGACCTCTGGAGATCATCTAGTCCAACCCCCCTGCTCCAGCTGGGACATCCAGAGCACGTGGCGCAGGGTGGCATCCAAGCGAGTTTGGAAGAGAGAGTTGAATGTGTTGAGGCGGGAGAGCGGTTACTTTCCATCCTTGGGCTTGCAAAGATTGCAAAGCAGCTCTCAACATTCCCATTTGCACAACTTTTCTGTCTCCTACAGGTCTCCACCATGAAAGGAAGGATGATGACAACTCTGAACAATGAGCTGGTCTGTCTGCCCAATGTGGAGGCAATTCTAGAGGACTTTGAAGTTTTGGGAGAGGGTCTGGTCAAAAGCGTGGAAGCTCGTACGGAGAAGTGGACCATCTAAGGCTTCTGAGAGGCATCGAAGGGACCTGTTTGGAAGCAGAGCATTTGTTCACACCAGAACTCTTCGTTTTTACGACCTGGTCCAAGGGAAGGCTTTAGGTGTTTTTTTTAATCCAAAACTGTACCTCTTGCTCTATTTATATGGCTTCCTCAGAGAAATGTTGTCCTTCTTGAGAAGGAACCAATTAACTGTTTTTTAAGAATACAAATGTCTTTTATTTTGGAGGGAATATAAAGATGGGTTGAAGCATGTGAAAGTTCTCCTGTTTGTCACAGGAAACAAAATTGCATTCATGTGAAAATATTAAGGGTGTTATGTGAAAATGTTTTGAGTGTTGCGAAGGCTCTAAATAGAGAAATGTTATGTGTTACTCTAAGGGTCTACAAAACCAAAGAGATATTCAACCATCCAGAAAGGGCCAGATTGTTTCTCTGAATTTAGGTCTGGTAAGACTACATTTTTAGGGTGCAGTTTCCAGTTCTGGGCTCCCCAATACAAGACACACACTAGTGCAAGTCCAGTATTGGGCACAATGATGATCAAGAGCTCAGAGCATCTGATATCTGAGAAGCTGAGTCTACTGGGATCATTTAGCCTGGAAAAGGGAGGGCTCGTGCGCCGTCTTACCAATGTGTATACATACCAGACTGGGGAGGGTGTAGAACAGACAGACTCTTCTCCCCTATCCCAGAGCTGTCATGGGAGCAACAACCATGGGGCTCTGGCCCATGCTGGCTCATTCCTTACTGGAGAATATCTAGGGACAAACTCTATTCTTACAGCCAAGAATCCTTCCTGCTCTGTCCTCTCCAGAGCAGCTCCCACCCCACGTAGCTTGTGGGGTACACCCTGGATATGCCCTGCAGCAGTAGCATTGCAGATGACAATATAACAGAAGCAGGTAAAAGCAATCTTACTGCTCCTCCATTTCCTTCATGATTTTAAAAGATGAAACAAACTCCATGCAGCTTGAAGCTAACAAGCTTTGGATCCCTGCACTGCTTCTCTCTATTCCTTCAGCTGCCTGCCACATTCTTCCTTTTCCTTGTTCTTGGGTAAAAATACTGTCATTTGCAGTGTGCAGCAAAGGGCCAGGAAGCATTTAGGTCTTTTGGCATAATAACCTTGTACAAAAATAACTGCGCCAAGATCCCTGATGATACACTGTTAGCCAAACCCTCATACAAGTCCTAACCTGCTGCTGCTGCTTCACAAACTCAGGATCAGCAGCCACATATGAACTTAAGTCGGGTCTGTGCTGCGGATGTTTGTCATGGAAATGTCCCTTTTGGTGAGTGATACTGGTATAGCAGTAAAAGCCTTGAAATAGATGCAGTAAGACTTAACAAATCTGACAAGGGCTAGACCACCTCGAAGGTCAAATGTTTTCAAATGTTTCCATTTGAACTGTTCAGCTATTTCATCTTTGCTGATTTGGAAAGTCAAAATCTTTTCAGAGGTGCTTTTGGTGTATCTGGCTGTCTGGTTTGAGGCTGACTCCCTAAAAACACCAAGAACTTGTCTTTTTCAGTATAGGAGCTCTGATAAGGAGCTCTTCAAATAAAGGCTCCTGTAAGGAACATTATGCTTGGGCACTCACAATCATCAGTCCTTGCTGAAAACCCTTAGCCTAAATTTCCATGGCTGGCTGGGGAAGGAGAAATTTAGTTTTTGACATAGGGAGAAAATGGTCTCCCTTAGTTTACTGGTAAAATATATACGTCCTCCCAGTTGTATTCCCACAGTGGCCTTGCTCCTTGGCTCTAGGCTGGCTTGTTTGTCAGGGTTTCTGTTATCAGGAAAAAAAGCTCTGAACATAAAGCAATTTCTCCTGGCCGAGACGGTTGCTTTCTGGGAGCGCTGATAATGGCGTGCGGCTCTGACGAGTGAGGGCATTTGAAGCACGTGCGTCTCCCCGGGAAGGCAGAGCGCTGCCTCGCGGGGCGAGTCGCTTAGCAATGGGGTTGCACTGCGGGGAATGGAATGTCAAAATGGGAGGAAAATGCCCCAGGAAAAAAACTCTCCTCTCTGCTTACTGAAGATTGGAAGTAGGAAAATGACCCCCTGACTCTGTGTAGGGGCTTTTCTCTGTCCAGGCTAAGCGAGATGATCTCGGATCTGCACCACAGAACAGTGGTTATGGATCAAGATAAAAATTACATTGAAAATTTTTGTTTCCCTAGTAAGATCTCTCAGTAAGCCCAGGCTTATAGGGATCTCTAACTGCTGTTGGTTTTTGCTGGTTTATCTAATTTGGGTTTGAAGGAGAAAGCCACAGTGGTGATGCACCTGAAAGAAAGATAAGGAAAACGCGTGTCCCTCGTTTCTGTGAATATTGAAACACTGGGACTTGCAGTGTTTCGGAGAACTACAGTGGTGGCTCTGCTGAGCTCTGAGTTTACAGCTCGCTGGCCAAGCTCCGTGTGTTGAGGGGTGACCTGCCTTGTGTTAATGCAGGACAGGAGCTTGGAGCTCCTGGGCTGGAGCTGCTGCCAGGCGCTTTAGCCTTGTGCCTCTACGTGGCTGAAGGCCTTAGTGATGTTATGGGGCAAGGAAGAGGGGACATGTGACTGCTTGTGGGCAGCAGCGCTGTAGTGACACCAGGGAACAGCCGACCGTGTCCTGGAGGAAGGGCCCCCCCGGACAGGCACGCAGCGAGGCGAGGAGATGGTGCTGGCTTTGCTCCATCCAGCAAGATCAGGGCTTGCGGGGGCAGGACAGGCCCAGGACAAGAGGTCTTGTGTAAAGCAGGGCTGAACCAGCTCTCAGTGTTGCGTCTTGTCGACAGGGATTAAGTTATGTAAAGGCTCAGCCAGGTGGAATAACCTGCAGTGGAATCCCCAGCTCCATCCTGTGCCGGCCAGCGCTGCTGGAGGGACGCGCTCCATCTGAGGCGTGAGGGGGCGGGCCGGCGCTGGCGGGACGACCTTGGTCTGCTCTTGGCTTCCCCTGAGGGTCCTGTCCCAAAGACCTTTGCTTTCCCCTTCACCTTCCAAAAGAGCCCCCTCGATGGCCCTCCCTTGCACAGATGTAGGGCAACACTCCCTTGTTATGTTTTTCCATATGGTATATTTTGTCCGTGTATGCGTGCCTGCACCTTGTCCTTCCCTGTTGTGCAGCACCTGGTGCCTGGGACCCGTCCAAGGGGCAGCGAGGCGTTGG